ATTAAAAAGGGTGGAGTGCCTAGGGGCACCAGCCTCTGGGCCTAAAGAAAAATCTGCCTTACAACATCCAGATGTCCAAAATAGATCAAATTGCCTGTGGTTGTTCATTGACAAAAAATACTCAAGTCACTCACACTGCCTCTGATAGCAAAACCATTAAATACATTTAACGTATGATTCACTTTCTGAACAACTTTCCAGCTGTATACCTACTGGTAAAGTTAAGTTAACTCTCAAGTATTTGTTAGCAAATTCCTTTCGTTAGTGGATTATAAACAAGCCTGAAGGCTTTGCTCAGGCCCAGGCCCAGGCCCAGGAAAGGGTCTGGACAAGAGTGAGATTTAATCTGTGAGTGTTCCTGAGACTCACCCTAAATGGCTGGAGGATTAGCCAGCTGAAATTGTTCCACCATTAGTGTCATTTATCATCTGTGCCGCTTTTTCTCCTCATTGGCTCCAAAGTCTGAAAGTTAACTGTACATAAAGATATAAAATTCTCTGGAAAAGAGGAAAAATTATTAGCCTCAATCCTTCAATATTTGAGTTTACTAGATGACAATCCCAAAGTCCACTGCTAATAAAATTTAAATTGCACTCCCGGTACAAATTGTGTCCAAACATCTGTGAAGAGCTCTGCTATCCCCCAGGGCCTGGCTAACGGCCCGCGTGGCCTTTAAAGCATTCACTCATGAATAATCAAAACTTGGACCCGAACGAGCACGTGCACGCGAGCGCGCGCGCGTGTGTGTGTTTGTGTGTGTGTGTGTGTGTGTGTGTGTGTGGGCACGAGAGCGTTGACAAGCACTGATATGCACGTAATTCTACAGACAGGCAGTCAGAAATCAAAATAGAAACAAATATTTTGAATGTGCTTTTAGAAGACAAGTGAATACTTTAAAAGCTTCTTTATCTTCAGAATTTGATAGTATCAGTATGTGTTGTTTAACAGTTCCCTTTGGCAACTAACTGTACGGCCTTAAGTGCTGTGACTGTAAGAGGGAATGGCCTGGGATAGTGGTCTGTTCCTGGCATGCTCACTATGATACAGTCTTTTACCTCCGGATCTTGAGGTATGGATCTGCCCCTCCAGTGATGAGCCCTGGTTCCCATTACCACCGCAGGGTCTGTGGTCAGCAGGGGCTAGATCTGTTTGGAAGTTCCTGTTTAGGTAGCTTCCGACATGACTGTAGCTCCCAGGGAGCCCTCGTAAACACTGGAGATGGAAAATGATGCTTTGTGCCAATGACATAGGCCCCTTGGTCAGACTTAATAGGGAAGGTTATAGAGCTCCAACTTCATGGAGAAAATTTAATATCTAGAATTCAAAACAGACGGCAGTATTTCTGCTCTTACGGTACCTTTTAAACATGGGGGAAACAATAGCCAAACCTCTGAAAAGTCTCTTCAATCCAAATGTAGTATCTGTTCACCTACACCTGTAAGATATGGCCTGAGAGTCCTGCTTGCTGCTCCCCAGCCGCGCAGTTAAGAGAGTGATGGATAGTGGTGATGCTAAAGAAGGGAGGCAGCTGCCAAGAGAGGGAGGTAGAAAGGAACAGAGCCTACTGAAATCTTTCTTCCCTGCCTTTCCTTAATTTCTACTGGCCCACTTTCTGAAGTGGCTATAAAAGACAAGGCCGAGGCTGGCTGGAGGAAAAGGTAGGAAGGGGTCTGTCTCTGAAATCCACCTACCTATGATTTCCTCTTCAATTCCTCCTCATCTCTACTCGCTGTCCCATTCCCCAGACCTAAGGGAAGTTGTTTCAGTAGATCAGTGTCCCAGCGGGGTTTGCGTGTGAAAGGACACCCTTGAAGGCCAAAACCGAAGAGAATGAGCTATCATGGGCAGAGCAGGCATCCCAGAGTGTAGGGCATTCCTCACGTCCTAAGGGCTCTGGGAATAGTCTCCCCTTGAGTACAGGCCAGGAAGCAGAGGCCCTACAGTTCAGCTCACCTTTTGGGCAATATATCAACCTCTTCAACATAAATAACCAGCTGTGCCCCAGGTCTAGTGCCAGCTAGACCCTCCAGACTGTTAATCCCTGGGAAGCACCTGCAGCTGTGCTGGCACTCGTCCTTCCCTCGACTGACTGAGCTTCAGGAAGGAGGCCCAGTTATGGTGTAGGCAGTTGTCCCTGAAACCCAAAGAGCTCTTCGAAGACAGTGCACAACTCCAGTTCGGGGTTTAAGGTAAAGGTATCTGTTAGGTGTGGCTTGAGAAACAATAATCCTGGCCTATCAGGAAGGGTGGCAGGGGGTGGTGCCCAATGCTAACGAACAACAAAGGCTAAAGGATCAGTAGAACAGATTCCTTTCCAGGGCCTCCTTTTCCAGCCTCTGTGACGGTCTGCATGCACACCCCTGTAGCAATAGGAACAAAGGAAAGGCATAGTTTCCAAAAGTCCCTGAGAATAAAATCTGAATTCTGTCTGGAACTACCCCCAGAACCAAGAGCATATACGAAAAACAGTTAAGATTCAATTAAAAAAAAAGAATACATATTGATCACAGGAAGCATGTTAATTATTGAGTGATTTATTCACCTTGTATTCAGAATGACAGTTTTTCCTTTATGAAAAATGATTTTCACAGCTATAATTATTTTGATTCAGGGTATCTTCTTTATTTCAGAACAATAAAATGGAAAAATGTCAAGTTTTAGAAAATAAAGAGATACAGCTTTAAAAAAAGATTCAATAGAAATAATCAAACTATAGGACAGGGCATTTCAAGTGCAGCAACAGAACTCAATAGGCAAGCAAACAGCCTACTTCTACCTTTCCTTCTGTTTATTTTCATTCCGAACCCTCAAGCCCAACACTTTTCACCTAATAGCTCTGTTAATTCACATTTCTTTTCTCCATTAGCTTCTAAGATTATTCAACAGCAAGGTAAGAAATGGATTCTTACTGTATTTTCCAATCAGGGTCAGATAATGTCATTATAAAACACTACACTAATTTTTAAAAGGACTGTAAAACAGATTTAATTTAAATTCTACTATATGGCTAATTCAGATCCGTCTATATGCATCCTTATTTTCCTAGCATATTTAATGATTCAGCAGTAAAGCCCTGTTTGAAAACTTTCTTGTTTCTAACATGTAAATACTGTAAAAAACACTTCCATTTGCCATTTTCAGTGAAACTCTAAATTATGTTTTGCCCATCAGAACTTATTCTACATGGCTCCAGAGGAAATGGTCAACGCTGTTTCCCCAGGTGTAGATGCCTCGGAGATAGTAATCCTCCTTTTACCTTCATTGTCAAGGGATCAGTTACTTTTAACCAAAGGTCGGTTGGTCCTTCCTGACGACACAGTAGAAACAGACTTAATAGTTCTTGCTCCTGAGCCTAGATGTTAGCTGTCTAAAACATAATTAACAACAGGCTGCCAGTCAACGAGTGCATTTTTTGCTTCATCTATGGGGAGTTGGGGTGCCTCCGATTTAATAGGGGCCACAGTGCTAGTTATCAAATTGACAATTTTGACCTGACCTCTACAAGTAGCTGTGAAATTATGCCTAGTAAATTAAGATAAATGCCAAATCTCTCTGAAGAAACAAGCCTATGTAATAACTATAAAATGGGCATTCGGGTCTGAGGCCAAGATTTCACAATAAGGATATAAATACCAGCCTGCGCACAAAGGAAGACATGCGCTCAGTTATTGTATACACAAGATAACAGTGACTCACTTCACTCAGCATTACGCTTGGCTGGAGATTTTAAATTCCTTTTTAAAAAAACAAGACTATTGTACCACAGGGTAAGGATTTTATTACCCTCAATAATGGGATCGAATATGCCAAGGTATAGAAGCAGAAAATTAGATCTGCTGATCCCAGTGCCGAGACAGGGGTTACTGAAAGCCACGATGGGTCGCTTTGGTGGGCTCTTCAATGTTGCAGGGGCCTGGAAACCCGGGGAGACCCATCGGGGAAGTGTCTGGCTCCAACCAGGAGAGGTGAGAGAAGTCAAGGTAGATCTACTGTCAGGGAGTAGAATGGAGTTACAACATGGGCATTCACAGTCCCTCTGCTATTCCGGTGGTACTGGAATACTACCCCAGGAGGCAAAGGCACTGGGAAGTTAAGAAAAAAGGTTATTGATCTGGCTCTCTCCCTCAGAGGCCATTGCCAAATAGTGCCAAGAAGCCAAAAGAGTCACTGCCTGCTTATTCGTCACCTTTCAATAACAAAAATTGGTCACACAGGTCCCTGAAGACAAAATATAAGCCATCGACCTTCAACCTGAATTTTAATTTTTACCTATCGTAGGGAGAGTTCATGTGACTCCTATCCCTTCTTTCGTTTTTCCTATTCACCCAAACTTGTTTCTACTTTTTTTTTGTTGCTGTCTGTTTCTCAGATTTATTGCTTCCTGCACTGATACTTAGGGAAGGAGAGGGGTTAAAGAGGCTGTGATTTAGGTTCCTGTCAAAGCTCAAATTACAGGGCCTCTTTCTCCCTAAAGCCCTCTGCTTAGCCAGACTTAGATGAGATGATGAGATGTAACTCAGAACCCTCTGCCTGCTGCCTTCCTCTGTGCTGACCTCCAGCCAGACTTGTGGGGATGACAAGCAAACTGATGAGTGACCCGGCATCTTATGTACATAGTTCCACCAACCAAGGGAAACAGATACTCTGCAGACTACACCAACATCCTTAAAATATTGACGTATACAATCCCCAAGAGACATAGGCACAAGTCTACTCAGCTTTCTAGAGGCAAAAGTCTGCCCAGCTTCCTTAAGCCAGGAGGGAACATGAAGATTTTAGCTCCTCTAGCTGCCCTTTGCCTACCCATTAGCATTTATGATTTACCAAAACACGAGCTTCTCTCCCCACAGGAGAAATCACTGGCATTTACCTGTCACCTGTCACACTGGGACTGGTTATATTTCCCTTGACCCGGTAGAGTTACCATGACCAAGTTGCTTCCTCTCTCTAAAGAGATTAGTCTTTTAAACTTTTGATCTGGTCTTTTTCTGTCCCCTCAGGTCATGGATTATATGGGACTTTTGAAATGTTATCCTCCTGGAGGAAAACTAGAGAAGACCAACACGTTAAAGAGAGAACAGCAGCAGTGTACGCAGACTCCATGCTCTCCTTCTCTCTCACCACTGCCATGTACCTGGTCACCTTTGGCATAGGGGCCAGTCCTTTCACGAACATTGAGGCAGCCAGGATTTTCTGCTGCAATTCCTGTATTGCAATCTTCTTCAACTACCTCTATGTACTCTCATTTTACGGTTCCAGCCTGGTATTCACTGGCTACATAGAAAACAATTACCAGCATAGTATCTTCTGTAGAAAAGTCCCAAAGCCTGAGGCATTGCAGGAGAAGCCGGCATGGTACAGGTTTCTCCTGACAGCCAGATTCAGCGAGGACGCAAGTGACGGTGAGGAAGCGAACACTTACGAGAGTCACCTATTGGTATGTTTCCTCAAACGCTATTACTGTGACTGGATAACCAACACCTATGTCAAGCCTTTTGTAGTTCTCTTTTACCTTATTTATATTTCCTTTGCCTTAATGGGCTATCTGCAGGTCAGTGAAGGGTCAGACCTTAGTAACATCGTAGCAACCGCGACACAAACAATTGAGTACACTACTGCCCAGCAAAAGTACTTTAGCAACTACAGTCCAGTGATTGGGTTTTACATATATGAGTCCATAGAGTACTGGAACACTAGTGTCCAAGAAGATGTGCTAGAATACACCAAGGGGTTTGTGCGGATATCCTGGTTTGAGAGCTATTTAAATTACCTTCGCAAACTCAATGTGTCCACTGGCTTGCCTAAGAAAAATTTCACAGACATGTTGAGAAATTCCTTCCTGAAAGCTCCCCAATTTTCGCATTTTCAAGAGGACATCATCTTCTCTAAAAAGTACAATGATGAGGTCGATGTAGTGGCCTCCAGAATGTTTTTGGTGGCCAAGACCATGGAAACGAACAGAGAAGAACTCTATGATCTCCTGGAGACCCTGAGGAGACTTTCTGTCACCTCCAAGGTGAAGTTCATTGTTTTCAACCCATCCTTTGTGTACATGGACCGATATGCCTCCTCTCTGGGAGCCCCCCTGCACAACTCCTGCATCAGTGCTTTGTTCCTGCTCTTCTTCTCGGCATTCCTGGTGGCAGATTCTCTGATTAATGTCTGGCTCACTCTAACGGTTGTGTCCGTGGAGTTTGGAGTGATAGGTTTCATGACATTATGGAAAGTAGAACTAGACTGCATTTCTGTGCTATGCTTAATTTATGGAATTAACTACACAATTGACAACTGTGCTCCACTGTTATCCACATTTGTTCTGGGCAAGGACTTCACAAGAACTAAGTGGGTAAAAAATGCCCTGGAAGTGCACGGGGTAGCAATTTTACAGAGTTACCTCTGCTATATTGTTGGTCTGATTCCTCTCGCAGCTGTGCCTTCAAATCTGACCTGTACACTGTTCAGGTGCTTGTTTTTAATAGCATTTGTCACCTTCTTTCACTGCTTTGCCATTTTACCTGTGATACTGACTTTCCTGCCACCCTCTAAGAAAAAAAGGAAAGAGAAGAAAAATCCTGAAAACCGGGAGGAAATTGAGTGTGTAGAAATGGTGGATATTGATAGTACCCGAGTGGTTGACCAAATTACAACAGTGTGATAGTGTCTGCTTGTTATGTTGTCACCCTAGGTCTTATCAAGAGGAAAGAGATTATGGTAAAGAAGCAAGTTTAAAGTTTTTCTTTCTTTTCTAAGGATAAGAAACAGGCATTGATTGCCAAAAAAAAAAAAGTAAAGGACAAGGGGGGGAAATGGGCATTGCATATTTTCGATCTTTAAGACAAAAGATTGTTATCAGAAAGAATTTACACACACACACACACACACACACACACTAGGAGACTTATAGTCTCTTAAACTAAGATCAAATAGAAGAAAGCGTATTAGCAAGCAGAATCCTATTTTATTCACACTGCAGATGTTGCTGGTATTGCGACAAAAACCTACTGATTGAAAGGTCAGCTGCCAAGGCAGAAATAGCTTTAAGCATTGTTCAAACAATAAGGCTTCCAGAACTTCCGCAGAGCAATAGCTCCAGGCAGGTTCTGTGGTTTGAGGTTTCAGCCACCTCATCTAGCTCCCCAGCTCCCCCAAAGGAGATGCTTATGAGAGTTCTGGCCAGCAAAAGCAAAAGCAAGCTAGAACCTTAGAAGCAGACATATGGTGGAGTGGCCATCACCATGGACTGAACTAGAGTCATCCCTAAATTCACCCAGGTGAGGCAGTTTTGTTGTCTAGAATGAATCTATCCTATCCCCCCATCAATATGCTTTTAACATTTGTATGGTTTGGTTAATATACCTTTAAACCAGTGACAGATCTAGCATTGCAGAGTTGGGCGATTCTATTTTGGAGTATCTTGTTGCTTGTCACCAAATGGATCTGCTTTATTAGTTACAGCTCTTGGCAGGAGGCTCTGAGTACACAAAACCACAGAGCCAAACCCAAATACCTGGCACAATGGAGGAAAAGCAGGTGTCTTCTTGAACCCAGAGACACTATTTCCATTTTAATAAAAAAATGGCCAGCTGGTACAGCTGTTTGTGGTCTGGCCCTACATGCATTTTTTGCGTGGGTGCCCAGAAACAAAATCTGCTCACGCCTAGCTGAGGAAGGAGAAAGGCACACTGCAATGGTTATTTGCTGTAGCTTCCAACTTGTAGTGTCGGTCTGCCTTCGCTATGATACACGCCTTCTCACAGACACAGAGGAAAAAGAGTTCTTTGGTGGGCGCAAACGCTGAAACAGAAACTTGGTTAAAGTGCAGGCAGGGAGATTAAGGGCTGAAAGGGAGATAGATACAATGACAGGAAGATTTACAAATCTATCAAGGACAGCGGTCAAACTTGCCTGCTAAACTGGCTGCACTTTCATCTTCCTGCCTCACCCCATGCCTTTGTTAATGCCCCTCTACTTCATTGCATGGCCCTTCTGCACGTCAATGGGCCTAGACGTTTATACTGTTGACTTGCAGTATCTGCAGGATCTAAACAGAAATGGTTTGATCTGCAGAGGCTATGTATGTTGCCCCAGACCCCTGCATTTCTTTATGTCTATAAAAATGAAGCTAACAGCTGGTCACATTTGAGGCAACTATCTACAGTATTTTCCCCTTTTAGAGATGTAGCTTTTGTAGACATCTATAGCAGTAAGCATTTCCCAAAAGCACCTTACCTTTTTGGACCTTAGCGGATGTACTGTGCAACTTTCCCATCCTCCACAGAGGAGGAAACAGACCTAGGAGGAGAAAGCGATTCATGCAGGGTCACACCACCAGAGGGTTCTATCATTGTAGCATGCCTAAGACAGGGCAGGCCATTTTTAGATTTTCTCATAAGAGGGCTATTACTCCCTTCAAAGTACATTTCCAAGGAAGGAACACAGGACTTTGTTGGCCACAGGGCAGACCTTTTTAAAAAATGTCTGGGTAATTGGGATGTAGATTTGCCATTGTCTTTCCAAACAGCAAAAATGCCCAAATGATTCAGATGTAACCACACCAAGTGCAAACCTGTGCTTTCTGTTTCATATACTGTTGTTCACACAGTTCTAAATACGTGTCCAGTGCATTACACACTTGTTCAATCTCTCCTGCAGACACACTAAGCGATTGTCCCAACATGGTATGTACTCAGCTACAAGATAATGAGCTTTAATCTGAGGACAAGTACAGTTCTCAAAAAAGGGCAAGTTCGCATAATGGATCTGCGATCAATTCTCTCTCCAAGGGGCCTACAACTAGGCTATTATTTATAAAACACAGCTGAAGAGGGGATTGGTTTTATTCTTAAATCATATGTTGCTAAATCATTTTCTGAGCAGTGTGTTCTAAATCAGCCATTGATTTCGTGTCGGCCACATGGAGCACCTCGGGTTAAAGCGACTCCACAAAACTGATGTGACACACACACCAATTAAGTGGATTTCGTTGAGAATTTCATCATTCAATTTGGTCAGCTGGAATGACTTACTGTGGAACTTTGTTTTACGACAGAGAGTAGTTTTCCAACTTGATTGAGTCTCTGTATTCCTTGGGATATTGTATTTTTAAATGAAGGGCATTTTCAACCTTGTCAGCTTCTCTTTTCAACACTTGAAATCAAGGCTTATGAAATTCTGTCTGTGAATGATTTTTTTTACCGGGGGACTCTGCATGCCAAGATTTATTACTTATGATTTATTGTTAGATCACTATTTATTTGTTAATATTGATTATTGATTATTGCTCTGACAGCATTGGTTTAGCCCCAGTTCAGCCCCACCATGGAGAAGACACCTTAGAAGTAACTCACAATCACATCCCTATAAAATTTGTCTTCACTTCATGAACTTTTACTTTTCCAATTGCTGTAAAGAGGGAAGGAATGGTCCTAGCAAACACTTGCAAAAGTTTTGTTTTTCAATTAATTCCAACCAAGACATTCATACTCACTTTACCAAAGAAACTTATTTGGTTGGTTTTGAGTTGGCATTTGGTGTTTGTTTACCAAAGAAAATATTCCATTCATCAAAAACATTTCTCCTGGTCAACTCAAAAGAAAAAAAAAAACTGTGATACTTGGGCTTTCCTGACCATTCACAAGGAAACAAAAAAAAAGTCAGGGTAAGGGCAATATTCTCTCCTTGAGTGAAACTCAGCAGAAGATATAAATTCACAAGAAACTCTGGGTTTACAAGAAGGAAAATGATACTTGAAATGGGGCATCATTGTTTAGTCCTATGTCAGTGGTCCAATAAGCAGCATAAGGGCTCCTCAGGCTAAAAGGACAACATGCGTTCTACAGAAAACAGACAGACCCTCCTGAAACTCCCCCTCCACTGTTCCAGCGCCTAAGTTTCATGCTGGTTTGGTTTAGCATTTTGGGGTTTTCTGGCTTTTGTTTTGCTATGGTTCCGTTTGTGATGTGTGCTTGTGTTTGCTTCTTTTGCTCCTGCCTTTCCTACTACTTTTACCCCTCAACTTTTGTCAAAAGTGAGATAATCTGAACCCAGCCTCTATGGCTGCAGTTCTTTGTGCAATATACTGCTCCAGACAAGACCCTTAACTCTCATTTGAACTCTCATTCGAACTAACCACCACCCAATTGTTCTAAGTGGTATTCTGGGACCCTGACACCACCTTCCTCCACCCCCAGCTTGTCTATCTCCAGAATGGGTGGGCTGGGCAGCCGCCTTGCAGGTTTGGTGAGAAGCAGAACCTATGGACACAAATGGTATCCTCCTCCTAATGGCTTTATTCCCTCGGATCCTATTAAAGTAGTCCTGCAACTTGCAGTAGTGTTTGACGTCTGTGAATGTCTGCTTTCTCATCTGTAAAATGGGGATAATAACAGTCACTATCTTCAAATTCAGCAAATACTTCCCGAGTGCTCAATATCACCCAGATACTCTTCTAGAGACTGGAGACAGCAGTGAACAAATCAGACACAACCGTCTGCTGTCGAGGAGTCTTCATTTGCATGACAATGCAGACTTCCTACAAGTGAGATGAGGCACTAATGACAAGACCTGGCATAGAATTATTTGTAATTTGTCTATACCACAGTGTACAGTCACATAGAAGTGGATTTTTTGCAGATGTGGGCCCAGGATTTGGGCTATATAAAGATGCAATCAGTTGTCCTGGTCATTTTAGGACATTAATATTTGGCTTGATCACCACTTAGTAGGACAACTGTAAAGGGAGCACAAGCCCTGCATGCTGAGTTGGGTTTTTTTTCTTTTTCTTAAGAGTTTATTTATTTTTAGAGAGAGGGGAAGGGAGGGAGAAAGAGAGGGAGAGAAATAGTAATGTGTGGTTGCCTCTCACACATCCCCTACTGGGGACCTGGCCCGAAACCCAGGCATGTGTCCTGACTGGGAATCAAACCAGGGACCCTTTGGTTTGCAGGCTGGCACTCAACCCACTGAGCTACACCAGCCAGGGCTGAGTTGGGTTTTAATCCTTGAAAGATTGGGACACAGGCACTTAGGAATGGGGGCAGGGAGAGGAGGGCACTTACTGTTTAACTACTATGCCTGGCTTGTCTGGAGACATTTGAACAACTCTGGGGTAATTTGCTTTTAAGTTTGTGCTACATAAAAAGCACCAGGTATTTGAAAATAAAGTTCCTGTTTTTAAAAAGCATGGTAAAGTTGCAACACAATGGAAAATATTGAATTAGTACTACTGCAATCTCTGGCAGAGAACTGAGAATTGGCTTTGGCCAGCACATCACAGGGTTCCTCCCTGTGGTGATTAAAACTGCTTATTTCTGTGTCGTGCCAGTCTGGGAGAAAGCAGAGAGGAGAGAGAATAAGCTAAAATCCGTGCGCCGGAATAGACAGCATCAGGATGTCCTCCGCAGCCTGCCTCTCACCTGCCCCGCTTCTGCCTGGGAGATCTGTTTGAAGTCCTCTTTGATATCTATAAAGGTGCCATGCGAGAAAGAGGAAGTTAGGTGACCAGAGAGCTGCGGCCTCTGTACAGATTTTCAAGTTAGATTAAAATTAGCACAGTGAGGATTTGCAGGAACCTACCTGGTGGGGAAGGAAAGCTTTTTTTATTTTTTCAAAATACAAAGAAAACAATGTATACCAAGGAAGCACCCACAGAGGCACCGTGGTGGAAGGAATGCTGTTTCTATGGAATGTGCTGGCCTCCCCGCCCCCACAATGTTGACGCCAGGGAAACCTCCGGCTAGGATTAAGTTTACCCACTTGTTTCTAGCATGAGAAACCTGACACCTGGAGAAATGAAAGTACATGCACATAGCTGGCTGGAAGCAGATATAGGACTGTAACTGAAGTCACCTAGTTCCTAGTCTCAGTCCTTTCTCCATCCTGCCACTTTACTGCCAAATTCTATGTATGTAAAATCTGGGGTCTTAACCTGGGGGCTATGAATGAGTTGGTGGGAGGGTGGGACTCTGAACTCCCCAAAATTAAACTACATGCAAAAATGTGTGAATATGTTCAATACATGCACTTCCCTAAAGAGAGAGTTCGTAGTTGTCATCAGATTTCAAAAGAGGTCTGTGACCCAAAAAGGGT